ATTCTTCACCTTGGGGAGGAGCTGAGGTTGTGTGGATTTTCAATAGGTGTGGTTTAAATGGTTTGAATTCCCAGGCTTCAAGAGTTAATGTGAAATGTCCATGTTCTTATTTCTCACCTGTGGTGCCACTGATTTGGGCATCTTAAAACAGCTTCTGATGCTGCACATTATTTACTCAAAGAGGGGAAGGAGCCCTGCAAATCCCTTGGCTGTGATGAGCAGTTTCAAGTAAGAGGTTTAACAGGAGATGTTTTGGTGTCAGTAGAAACTGAGGCAGGAGATGCTGCTGAGAGCAAATCAGCAAAACTCCCACGGGGGTTTCCCCAGCGAGGGGAAATGAGACGTTCAGGGATCAAGTGGCTCAAGGCTTTCCCCTGGTGGCAGCAGATGGGTTCGTTTGGGCCTTAGGAAGTGAATAAATCCTGTGGGGCCACTTTGTCATAGTGTCAGCTCCCTCCCGAGTCCTCTCCTCTGTTCCCTGGTGTCATTTGCACAGAAGAGAGAAAGGCTCTGGCCTCTCAGCTCCTGTATTGTGCCACAATCGAACCTTTTAAAGACTATTTGTGTGTTGTTTCCCATTCAGGATGGGGTCAGAGCGTAGATATTCAGCAGGTTTTTGTTAGATGGGTAAGACCATAGTTTCACAGAATTAGGGAGTTTAATACCAGCACAAACAAAATGCAACTAAGTTGCCTTCTTAAAGTTCTGTTGAACTAATTTAGGATCAAGAATTGCTCGTGATGGTATTTTCACCTAAATTATCTCCTCTTTTCAATTAGCTTTTATTATTTGATTGGTGGCTCCTCCCACCCTCCCTTAGTGCTTTAGCCAGACTCACACAATTGCCTGTATTTTATGTAAATGGAATTGCTACACCGTAAAATGATATACAAATGTGTCTACCACACAGCAGGCAATAAATGGTGTGAATAAACCCATTATCCCTATGTAATGGCAGCTGATTGCAGCCTGGGTAACACAGGGCTGACAGATGTGAGCCCATGGAATGAGGAGAACTCTGAGAGGCCACAATTAATTGACTTTTGGAATGACTCCTCTTTTCCACAGCTCTACTTGGCTGAGCAAGATTCACAAATTGCCGTCTTGAACTTTTTTATGGGACAAAATAGCTGCCAATGAAAATCTAAATTTGAGTCTGCAAACTTTAGACTTTAAGTCTGCAAACTCCAGAGATCTCCTTCCCCAAAACCTTCCTCAGCCCAACCCACATGGAGAACTTGAGGTGGAAATGTTGAATTTGCTCCACGGATGCTTTGTTTGGGCTGATTTTTGAATCTGTTGAGGCACCAGAGCAGCTCCCTTTTGAATTGTTTCCCACTGGCCACATGGGGAAGCAGCAGCTCCCAATTTCACTGGGTGAAATCATCAGGAATCATCACCTATGGCAGCTTCCATGTGTAACCTAGGCTGGCAGATGCTGGATCTCACCCAAGGCTTTTTAGAGCAATCCCACACTGTGTCCTTAATTGTCCACCTTCCTCCAGCTGATGACCATGGTTGTGCATGGTTGTCTCCTGTCACTGACATATTTTATGAAAAATCCTTTTGCCAGGATCTTTTCTCCTGAGAAGCTGGGAAGCTTCAGCTTCTCCCATGTTTTGCTGCTTTGGAATGTGATTTGGAGAATTGTTTACCCAGCATGTGAAATTGTTTTTACTTGGTGACCAATGACAGCTGCCTGTGTCAAGGCTGGGAGCAGCCACAAGATTTTATTATCATTCCATTCCTTTCCTTTCCTGCCTTCTTATGAAATCCTTTCTTCTATTCCTTAGTATAGTTTTAATATATAATTTTCTTTTAATATTATATATATCATAAAATAATAAATCAGCCTTCTGAAACATGCAGTCAAGATTCTCATCTCTTCTCTCATCCTGGTACCCCTGTGAACATCTCCACAGGCTCCAGTTGTGTTTCCTGGGCAGGATGATCTCCTCATCCCTAGAGTGAGGAAGCAGCACCACTGATCATGGGTGTGGGAAGGAGGCAGCTCAGGACCAGTCCAGAGCTCTGCCTTTCCCTTCCCCAGCTCCCACAGCCCCGTGAGTGATGCCCTCAAGAGCCTTTGTTGTCGTCACTTCTGCCTCCCTCCCTGCTTCCACCCTGAGCAGAGAACAAAACATTCAGAGTTAGGGTTCACTGTGAGTTTTTATTGAATTCAAGCCACCAGCCAGCCCTGGAGAGGGCACAGGGACCAGGTGGCACAAAATCCATTGAGGTGGCCCTGCCTGTGTGTGGCTGGCACAGCTACAAACAACAACTCACCTTATACAGACTGAAGTACAGGGCTGATATATCAGTACAATCAACAGGTTTATAACTGCATATCTTTTTCTAAATACACTGATTACTGATGTCTTTATTTGAAGAAAAGATTAAACATTCATTTATTTTCATTCAGCAACTGGTTTTTTGATTTACTCTAATTTGTATATTAAAATGCAAATCAATGCACATTCTCATGGTGTTAACACCAGAATTAGTTCTTTTTCTAGACTAAGTTGCTTTCATTTTAATACTAAAAAGAGAATTACAATTTAAATATATGCTTCTATATATGCCTTGTTTAAAACCAGTGCAGCTTTTACAGGTAGTGCCCGACTAAAATCACTTCAGTTGTGTTGGAAAGGCTTTAAAATGATCATTTATCATGCAGTAACTGGTATTTCTCCTAAACACACTAATATTTATTACTAGTTATTAAAGTCATATCACACTAATGTTCCAAAATATGCAAGAGACCTGAAGCTAACCAAAAGATTTCCCAGATGCCCAGAGACTGGTCCCAGTAATGTCAAGTCGCCAATTCCATCCCCATATGGATCATTCATTCAAGAGCTGGACTCAGGATCCTTGTGAATCCCTTCCAACTCAGAATATTCTGTGATTCTGTGAATTCCAAATTAACAGAACTTCACCCTATGACTTCTACTCATTGATAGCACAAAAGAAAGAGAACAGAGGATCAGGGGTCCAGTGAAGGTTTGTTTCACTGCCTGGTCATGCAGGACCCTCATGTGTTCCACACGCTCAGTCCTACACCAGTGTCCCATTCCAAGGATCCCACTCTGTCCAACGAGGCAGAACAGAAGCTGCTGCTCCCTGCTTTGTCTGGGTGTCCCTCCAGACATGGCCACAGGCTCAGGCCAGCACTGACACCTCTGTAAAGCCAAGCAGCAGGGAACAGAGGATGGGGACTTTCTCCACTGCACAGACTGCTGGAGCCGTGTTTGCCCACAGCCAAGGGGGCAGAACTCCCTCAGCACCTGCTGGGTGCATCTGCAGCTCTGTGCACAGCCCAGGAGCAAAAGGATTTCTCAGAGGGAGCTGCTCTCATCCTTCACTGCTGAAAAACTGGAAGGGCAGAAAACCCAGTCTGTCACCCATTCCTGGCTCCCAGCAGGACACAGCCTCCTTCTGCACCTTTTGCAGCACTCTGCTCAGGCCGGGAGTTTCAGTGCTGACTGTGCTTTGGAAAGGGGAGACCCTTCAGAGGGCAGAACTGCTCCAAAGACAGCCATGGCACTTCCAGATCCACCATCCATTCCATATCCTATCCTGACCAAAAAATTGGAAGAAATGAGACCTGTGCTATCCTTGACAAAGTACTAAGAGCTTACAAACCAAGTAAAAATAGACACCAAGCCTGAATTCCTGAAAGCCTCCCTCCAAAGCACTTTGGCTAATGTGGAGTGTAGTCACAGAGGCTCTTTTAAGCCTTCTAACAATTCCCTGCCAAACTGCCAGCAGTGGCTTTGTGTTCTATTTCACCAAGTCCTGTAAGGGCAGCTTTAGAAATCCAAGTCCAGGAAGGCTCTCGTGTGAGCTTCCCATGGGCCACAAGAAATAAAAGCTGGCACAAAAGTCCAGAGGCACCACCAAGGTACAGGCCCTATGAGATCCAAACACCTTGATTGCCTACAGACTGTTTTAAAGTTGTAAGGAAGAAGTACAGATTTCTCTGTACCTGGTGAGAACTTCTGAAGACATACCACAACCCAAAGAACACCAGGAGAATTAAAAATCCATCCCAGGAAGAATGGATGTATATTCTCCTTTGTGCTAATTCCCTTTATGTCAAAAGACTCACCCTGTCTGCCCACAGCTTCATGCAGAGAGGAACCAGCAGAGAGGAACCAGCATTTTCCAAGTACTTGCACTCTGTCTTGAGACTCCTCAAACTGGAGTCCCAGAAACATGCAAGAAATCCAGTTTCTACCACCTGAACAACAAAAGATACATCCGCAGAGAATATCCCACCTCACAAAGAGGAAAAGCTTTATAACAAGGAGACCCTGCTTTAAGCTAAAGATACCCAGCAGAGAATATCCCACCTCACAAAGAGGAAAAGCTTTATAACAAGGAGACCCTGCTTTAAGCTAAAGATACCCAGCAGAGAATATCCCACCTCACAAAGAGGAAAAGCTTTATAACAAGGAGACCCTGCTTTGAGCTAAAGATATCCAGCAGAGAATATCCCACCTCACAAAGAGGAAAACCATTAGAACAGGAGAGCCTGAGAGCAGGAATGCATCCCCTGAACTCCTCAGCACACACAAAAACCCAGCACTGAAGAGTCTTCAGTGAAGACGTGAAGCATGTTCTGGGTCAGAAGATGACACAGAATGCTTCATCCCACAACTTCACCACAGGATGCACAGCACTGCTCTGCAGGATGTCTTCCTGACAACTCTCTGCTGTATTCCCAGTGTCTGGGCTGATGTCATTTGTTGCCTGGTGATTCTAATACCATTTATTTCCCATCAATTCTAGAAGTCTCTGCAGTTCCACTCTGATGAGATTTGTCATAGTGGCTTTTATAACTTACAGCCTGAACTTAGGGATTTCAACAGCTCTTTCTGTAGCATCTGGTAGAGTCCTACACTGAGAACACCTGTATGGGCAACAGTCTGTGCACAGGCCAAAAGGCAACAGTGAGACCTCCCTCAAAACTTGAATTTGTCAAGGAATTCTTCCTGTTTGTTTCTCAAAGGGGCCATTGTTACCCATGAACACATTAATGCTGTTGCTCCTTTAGAGGAAACCACAGAAGCCACAGGCGCCACTGAAGACATTTAACAAGGATTTGCACCATAACTTTGATTTCAGGGCAATCAAGACCTTTTCAAACCCTTGTAGTTTGTACCATCACCAACATTTTGCTAAATCACTATCTAAAGGCTTTAGCAATTCAGATGAAGGAACTGGCAGATTTTCTAAACTGCTTAAAAGAGATGATAATTTCTGCATCAAACAATCAAACTTTGAAACAGATTATCTGTGCTGTAAATGAACTAAACTGAGATACCAGGCCTTACTCTTTCATGTGACAGAGAGAGAGAACAGCATCACTGGAGAACAGCCAGAAGGCTGGGTACAGGGCTTCAGTGAACTGAGCTTTGAATTTATAGATCAGGCTATTCTTCTCCCCCACGGCCATGAAAATGAGGAAGCCCCCATCGCAGTGGAGCAGCACCCCGATCTTGGTGGCCTTTGTGTTGGGCAGGCACTTCTCCACGTCGTTGTGCCAGGAGGAGAGCCTGGAGTTGAGCCACTCGATGCACCAGGAGCGGCAGTTCCTGCCCAGGCGGCTCTGGGGGCCCTGGCGCTCCATGCTGCCGTAGCACACGCCCAGCCCGCAGAAGCTGCTGGGCTGCAGCTCCACCTCCCAGTAGTGGACGCCCCGCTTGAAGCACTGGAAGCCCAGCACCTGGCGGTAGTCGGTGAAGCGCTGAGGGTGCTGCCTGTGGCCTGGGAAGGTGTCCGAGATGGACATCCTGGTGTAGTTGTCAGCCAGAACCACCGTGTTGTGGGCCGTGTTGTAATCCAGGGTGATGTTGGCAGCGTCTGCAATGACAAGAGTCACTCGGAGGGGCTGAAGAACAAAGCACTTCTGTTTGTCCTGTCCCACCTCTGCACTTGCTGCCTGTTTATCTGCCAGCTCTGCTCTCCTCCCCAGTGCAGCCAGCTCTTAGGCCACAGTACAAGCTGCTGGGTTCAGCTGCAGCTCTGTGTCACACAACAGCCAAAAGGAGGGAGAGTTTTCTTCCTTCCTGCAGCCTCACAGGATCCCTTCATCACCCAAACACCCCAAAAGAAGGCAATGGCTGATCTGGCAGCAAAAGGCATGCCATGTTGTATAGCATCTTAACAAGCCATCACGGGCTCACATTAAAGCCTGCATTTCATTTTAAAACAATCCAGTGCATTATAGTGTTTCTAGGCTACCCTAATGCTGTCTTTTTTGGGGAAACCAAAATCCTTACTTAAAAAACTTCATTTATCCTCATAAAGATTCACAGATGCTGTAGATTAATTTGATTCATCCAGCAAAAAGAACCACTTAGAAACCTCCTGCCCCCCTTTTTCTCCAGAAATTTCCTTCATTTGTAACAACCTATTAAGCTAACAAAACCCCCTCAGATGTCACTACAGGGGACACATAGCTCCAGTACAACAAGGTCCATCTTTAAGGAGTGCAATGCTGGGTGTCTTACACTGCAGGAGCTCCTCTCTGGGTTTCTTCAGGAAGCTGTCTATCAGCTCTTTGGCAGCAGCAGCTGGGGCACTTGGTGTGGCAGGTAGTGCTGTGTCAACAGAAGAACAGAGAGTTTGGCCAGCTGGGAAGAGACCTCACATGTTTAACACCCCATCAGACACGCTCAGGCTGGAGCTGATCTGGTTTAGCCTCCTGCTCCATGCAGGGTTATGTTCAATATTAGCTCAGGCTATTCACTGTCAAGTTTTGAAAATCCCACTCTCTGCACAGCTTCTCTCAGTGTTTGATTGCTCCCACAGTGGCCAGCAAGAGCTGAACTTTTGTTCAATACACCAACACCAAAGACTATCTTATCATTTTAAGAGCAGTCAATGAAAATTAGAATACACATGATGGAAGTTTGGACTCACCAACTTTAGCAGCTTTCTTTTTCTCTTCTGAAGGGGGAAAAGAAAGAAGTAAACTGTGAGTTCTACTGGGAGGCAAAAGTCACTGGTAAGACTGTGTCAGCTGTAATCCCATCACCATGGCTCTCCTGAAGCTGCAGCAGCACAGAGCCGACAGCCCAGCAGGCTGAAGCCAAGCACAAACACCCTCACACTGGAGAGCTGCACATCAAGCACAACCTTCCATTTGCTTCCTATTGCACAGGGTCATGAGCCTGGAAGGAGCTGGATCTCCCCTCAGGAGCAGTGTCTCCAGGCACATGGAATGCTCCTTTTCCTGTGAGGAACACTGACTATTCCTTTCCTCTTTACAGCAGAGCTCTCAGTGCAGCAACAGGAGCTGCAGCTCCATTGCAGTCCTGCTTCCCCAGCACACCCCTGACTGCCCCACAGCCAGCACCTGGACCATGTGCCAAGAGCTCCCTGGAAGTAACAGAAGCTGCTTCTTAACACTTACATTTACCTCAAAAAGAAAACATGGAAGATCAGCCAAACAGGCTACAGTGCCCATTGATTCTGGTATCTGGACAAAACAGAACTGAAAGGCCCCAGTATAACCTGGCACAAAGACCATCACCCCAGCCCTAGACTGGAGGCAGCAAAACGTTTGAGTAAGGCTCCTTTAATCCCCACTTACTGGTGGTATCTGTCTCCCCCTGTGAAGGGACTTGAGCCTGGGGAACAGTTTTCTCTTTGCGGGTCTGGTCTGTGAGGGAGGAAGAAGAAAACCAGAACATGAACAGATCCTAAGCAGAACTCAATACATACAAATCTGTCAAAACCAAAAGGTGTTTGGCACAAATTTTAAAAAACCTGCACCAACAAGAGGGTGGGGAGGCCCTGCTTTGCTTTAGAGCCCACAGTGACACCACTAGAGGCTGATGCAGCCGTGTCCCTGTGCAGCTCACAAGGCAAGCATCCCCAAACACCCAAAGCACCCTCCCTTCCCTGAGCCAAGGTGCCATCACTGCATCACCACCACAGCAAACAGCCCTTGGGGAACTGCCTCAACTCTTATTTAACAGCAAGGCCATAGCTGGGACAGGATGGTGTTCTGTTGTACTTACGTGGTACGGGAGGCTTTTTTCCAACAGTGGCTTTGTTTGGATGAGCTGCTGGAAGGACCTGAATTTTCACAGGTTTGGCTGCAATGGGATAATTTACATTATGGTTTGTATGGTCAGGAACAGACATGCATTAGTGAGGACATTTTTCCATCTTATCCATCTTTCCTGCCTTTTGGCAGGTGGAGTCCTGCCACTCTAAAGCCTTTCCAATCTCCCTCAAATCCACATCCTAACCACATCCAGCCCTGCTACATAGTTACACCATAAATTACTCCAAGGAAGAAAGGCTGAGCTGTGCCAGAAGGGTGTAATATCACGATACTCATCAGCTTATCCAAGTATAGATAACAGTAAAGAAACACTGGCACATTTTGTCTCCCAATTTAGCCCAGACTGTAATGTTTTTGTGTGGAAGTGGAGCACTGCAGACATTGGAAGACACAATTTACATTAACCAACTGTATTTGTTACACTTTTAAAAAAATTGTACTTGAATTGGAGAGGAAAGATCCCTCATTTCAGCTCAAAGCAAAAGTATAAAATGCCAGTTTCCCCAGTGACACAGTACCTTCTTCTTTTTTCTCCCGACTCTGAATTACTGAAAGTTTCACTATGTCTTTGAGGGTAATGGCAGACTGGTAAGTGGAATGCACAACATTTTGGTCCATTTCAACTACAGGAACAAAAGCCTCTTTTGTTGATGTTCGTTGCAGTGCTGTTGCTCTCTGAAACGACAAAGGAGAGACCACCTTGTGTAGCACACAGAGAAAAATACAACAACTCACTTTAGATGGGATGCAGTTTGTGCATTCGTCTCAAATTCAAGGGAACAAAGGCCACAGTCAGACACAGCTCATGGCAAAATTCCAGCAGCAGCTCAGACCTTAATTCCCACAGGTAGCCAGTGACCAGCCAGGTCCCAGCACAGAGCAGCCACACCTCACACAGGTGACTCCTGCCCAGTGACCCCTGTGCTCATGGCAGAGGCTGTGGCTGAACTGCGACAGTCACCAGACACCCTTCAGCATTCTTTCACTGATATTTGTGTGCTTTTCAGGACATCCTTTGATAGCAGGTTCTTGCACACCACTGCATTTCCATTTGACTGGAAGTCTCTGGAAAGCAGGACCATAGCAGCTTTTTGTCATTCTGCATTCTAGAATGAAGAACTGGATTCACACTTAAATGACACATTACCTTCAAAAAGAGAATATCATCACTTTCAGTCAGTGCCATCTCAATCTGATCTTTGAGACACTGAATTTCGTTCTTCTTATTTCCCAGAACACCATAAATATAATCAAACTTATTCCAAACTCTCTTTTCTTCCTCTGTAATTGCTTTCATGATCTCATTTTCTCTTTCTTCAATTACAGCTTTAACTTCTGAAAACTCCTTTCTGATCAATTCCTTCTTTCTTGAAGCTGTCTCCTGGGGCAGACAAGAGCAGATAGGCACTGATTTCAAAAGAACAGTTTATAAACAAAATACTCTAATGTGCTACTGAATGAAAGCCTCTGAGAAACGTGGGCTTCTCTCCCTTGAAACAAGCAAGAGAAGAGCTGTCGATTTCTATGTGGTTTGGAAAGAAAATTTCTTCATCCACAAGGAATGGAGCCCATTCTCAGTGCCACCCTCACGTGAAGGTGTAAAGCCTTGCACAGTGCTGGGCTCATTCCCATCTCCCACAGAGCCAAAACTCCTCTTTTCTGTTCCCTCCCAGTGACACCTTCTCCTGCCAATGCAGCCTCAGCACCGCAGCCCTTGCCACAGGGTACAATCCCCAGCACCATGCAGTGGCAGCGGGTGCCAGGCAAGCTGAGAGCACTCTGAGCAGCTCCCCACTTACAGCAGATTGGTTCTGCTTTGTTTTCACTGTGCTCATTGCCCGGGCAGTTCTTTCACTCTGGTTATGCAGCTCCGCAAGTTTTTTCTTCAGCAGCGACTGCAACAGGAGAGACCAGAAAGCATTTCAGAGAGGCAGTTGTCATGTCTGCTCTCAGTTTTAAACACTCTTGCAAGCATTTATTACTCTCAGCTTGAAACCTGCCTTCCCTTGAACCTCAGGGGGTGTAAAAGTATCATCCTGTACATTGTGGCACCCACACCCTCCCCACCTCTCCCAAGAGCAGGATGCCACTGCTGACACTCCCTTCACAAAGGACCCGCTGCTTTCACCAGCACAGCAGTTCTCATGCTAAGAATAAATGTTACATTAGCTCTCAGGTTGGACTTCCAGCGCTAAGTTGATGCTACTGTTCACCCCACTCCTTTTGAGAAAGTTCTCCCTCAGATGAGATTTACCTGCTCCTTTAGTTCAAGATTCTGCTAAGCTCAATCAGGGCCAAGTTCTGCAGCTAAGCTGCGTACACACCCACCGAACAGATGGGAGTTTGATCACCTAAACCTGTTCAGCACATTTTACTCATCCACACTGATTTTCAGCTGTGCTGGAAAATATAAAGGTCAGGTTTCCTTCCCTTCTACTCCGTGAGCCTCCTTCTGCCTTTCATCTACACACTTGAGATCCAGGATACCTTTATAATCCTTCTTAAAAACATCTGCAGCGGGCTGTCGCCCCTCAGGCAGTGCCAAGCCCCGGCAGGGAGCAGAGCAGCTGAGGAGGCTCAGAGCTCTGGGTGACGCCACAGAATTTGGGAGGCTCAGAGCTCTGGGTGACGCCACAGAATTTGGGAGGCCTCACTGCTGAGCCCAGCCCAGGACAGCCCAGCCCCGTCAATCCCGCTCCCTGACAGCGCCTTCCCAGACCCCCGCTCTTGAGCAACATCTTGGAGAGACGAGGAAAACGCGAGGAATGGCTCTGCGGACGTGCCTGAGCGCTGTTGGAGGGCAGATAACAGCTCACCAATGCCAGACACGAGATTTACAATCGACGGCTTGTTCCGACTTCCTGCCCGCACTCCAGAGCGGCTCTCCCGGCACCCAGGGAGCCCTTGGGAGGGGGTTCCACCGGCCACCCCCGCCCAGCCCGGCCGCTCACCTGGGCAGAGGCTTTTGCCTGCTCCAAGGGGCTGGTGGGGCACAGCTTGTGCCCGAGCAGGCAGAGGGAGCAGATGCAGACGCCGTGCTTGCCGCAGAAGAACTCGAAGAGCCGGTTGTGCTGGGGGCACTTGCGCTGCTGCAGGTCGCGCACGGTGGGGCAGAGCTGGTGGTCGCGGAAGGCGGGGCTGTCGCGGTGCGGCCGCAGGTGCTCGGCGCAGAAGGACGCGGTGCACGTCAGGCAGGTCTGCACGGCCGCCGCCTCCCGGCAGCTGTCGCAGAGCACGGGGGGCTCCGCGGCCAAGCACCCCCCCACCTCCCCATCCCCATCCTCATTCTCCTCCTCTTCCTCGCCCTTGGCCCCGGAGCGGCCCTGCAGCTGCTCCACCACCCGGCACAGCACCGTGTTCCTCTGCAGCTGCGGGCGGCCCGCGAACGTGGCCCGGCACTGCGGGCAGCTGAAGCCCCCCGAGAGCCCGGCCCAGGTGAGCTCCAGGCAGGAGGCGCAGAAGTTGTGCCCGCAGGGCACCGTCACGGGGCTGCTGAAGATGCAGAGGCAGATGGAGCAGGTGAGCTCCTCCTCCAGCCCCGACAGGCTAGGCTCCGACTCCAGCGCCGCCATCGCCCCGTCCGCAGCTGCCCCAAGAACTCGAAACTAACTTGGGCTCGGAGAAACGAAACTATGGCTGGGGCTTTCCGGAAAATTACGTGTCCGATCCCCGCCCCGACGGGAGGGGCGGCAGCCGGGGGACGAACCCTGAGGCGCCCGCCCCTATGGGAGCCGGGCAGCCCCGGGATTGGGCTCTGCCCTGCGGAACGGGACCCGCGGGGTGGGGACGGGACCCGCGGGGCTGCGGCCGGGCCGGGCCGGGCCGGGGTCTCCGAGCCGGGGTCGGGGCAGCGTCACCCGGCGGTGCCCGGAGGGCTCGGGGTCGGTGCCGCCCCCGCTGCCCGCCCCGCTCCGGCCCGGCCGGGCCCGAGGGAACCCGGCACAGCCCAGGGTGTCCGGCCGGGGCTCAGGCAGGGTGTGAACCCCAAATCCCCCCCAGCACCGCCCCAGCTGCTCCGAGCCGAGGGTAACCTGGATGCTGGAGATCCTACGGACTCATATGTTTGGGTTGGAAAGGACTTTAAAAATAATCTGTTTGCAACAGCTGATGTCAGTGCAATGTTTTTAAAACATACAGGTTACTGCTTTGTGATTGTGGAAATCATTTTAACAGAAGATGCTTCCTCAAATTTCTTTTTCTCAGTCCAACTGTTCAATAATCCTGTTTCTAACAGGAACATTGATGCTGAATAGCAACATGGCAAGTGCTCCTGTCTTAACTAGCTTGACTGCAAATCGTTCCACTGATCTCTTCCTCTTCTGCCCTGGCTGCTGGGGTCCCAGGGACTTCCTTGGCGCCCTCTGTATTCCTCCACCCATGCTGGCAGCAGGGATAAAAGGAGCAGCCTGGCACCAAGTCTGTCACCCCGCATTAATTTAAACAGAACCTGATGGACTGCAGCAGAAGGAGCTGTGTGCTCTCAACTCATCCAGTGGGCAAAGAACACCTTTATGTGGAGAACTGCTGAGGTTCCCTTTAAAGTAATTTAAAAGTATTAGCAGGCAATCTTGTTGGTGTTAGTCCTTGGGGACTTCCAAGAAGGTTCAGGAGTTACACAGAATCACAGAATGAACTTGGTTGAACTTTCAGTGAAGATTTTCTTTCTAACATCGAACCAAAACTTGCTTTGGCACAGCTTAGGATTGTGTCCTCTCATTCTGTCAGCGCTGCCTGGGAGCCCAGCCCCACCTGAGCACAGGCACCTCTCAGGGGGTTGTGGAGAGTGATAAGGTCTCCCCTGAGTCTCCTTTTCTCCAGGCTGAACACCCCCAGCTCCCTCAGTGCTTCCTCACAGGGTTTGTGTTCCCAGCCCCTCTCCAGCCTCGTTGCGCCCTCTCGACAAGACTGAGTGTCTCAATGTCCTCTCCAAACTGAGGGGCCAGGACTGGACACAGCACTCGAGGTGTGCCCTCCCCAGTGCTGAGTACAGGGAAAGGGAAAAATTACTTCCCTTCTCCTGCTGGCCACTGTTCCTGATCCAGGCCAGGGGCTGTTGGCCTTTTGGCCATCTGGGCACACTGCTGGCTCATGTTCATGCTCACTGTATAAAGCGATGTTGGGTGGTTTGTTACAAGGGAAATCTGCTCCTAGCCAGTTCTTTTGGACTTTTAATTTAATCTGGAGAATCATTGTAAGCAATGTTGCACAGACAACATGAACTTGTACCTCCATCAGTTCTCCCTGCAGCCTTTTAACGCTCCCTCAGGATAAGCTGCAGAGGGTTGTGTGTCACAGGGCTCTGAGTCACTGCTCAGTAACAGATACAGGTGCAGGAAGGACCATGGAGGCATTTGGGGCTGCAGGGCTGTGACAGGAGCAAAAGTTCAGGGATCAGCTCTGTCATGTGCTGGAGGGTGGAGGAGTTTCTAGGAGATGGGCACGGTGCCACAGGTCTACAGCGTGGTTGGGATGTGCTGACCAGGACTTTGTAACTGCTGTCAGAGGAAAGGCAAACACCTGACAGGGGGTGGCTGACACTGACTGCAAGGGAATGCACCTGGAGAGCTGTGCTGTGCATGAGATGGGACACAAGAGCAGCTCTTAATGTCTGCATTTTTTATTTTTCCATAGGTGAACGAACACCCTGGGCTTGTCCAGACTAAGCCATCTTTCAAAGACTCAGCACCTTCACTGCATTTTCTGTGGCACCCAAGTGGTATCAACTGATATAGACAAAGGTAGGCAAATAAAAAGGGTAAATATAAACCCTCACAATTGCAGCTTCTGCTTCTGGAGCATAGCACAGGATGTTTAGAGCTCAGATGAGCAATTTAAGTTCCACATTGTCAAAGAGGGCTTGAAAGTCTGGCTTGGAGGAAGCCCAACCACTGCTGTTGTCTATAGGACAATGAAGTTGCTTCATGCAAACTTGGTAACAACGGGTAAATAAAACTCAAGATTTTACCTTCAAAACACCCTCTCTCAGGGGTGTATTTGTTTTCAAGCATCTGTTTGCACAGCCAGAGTGACTCTGCATCCATTTAATTAATGCCAAAAATGCACAGTAGGCAATGGAACAAGAGGTACTGTGAAACACTTGCATTTAGCTTTTGCAACTTCCTAAGAATTAACAAGTAACAATTTCCCTAGGAAAACAATCCTTCCATTAATCCCCACTGTCTGAGCATGACTGTGTTCCTGTCTGGCATCTTCTTTTCATCCAGACTGCAAGAACAGCCACACAAATCTAACTGAACTTTTCTCTAAAAAAACAAATCCTAGCATGAAATAATGGTATCTGAAGTGAACAATAATGGTATCTGAAGTAAACCACAAAACACAAATTCCTTTTACTTGTATAAAACAATTCCTTCACAAACAAGACATTTTAGTAGGGCTGATGCAAAAATGCACAGTACTTTAATGGATTCATGCACTAGGTCAGAGTACATGACAGCTAAACCTTAATGTACAAATTTTCAGGTGTTTGTTTGTACCTAGGGTTTGTTTTCTCCCATGTCTTCTCTGTAGGACTCAAGTACCAAGCACAGGGATTATCTGGAAGTGTAAGACTTGCCAAGGCTCCAGAGGAACATGGTGCCCCCTCAATGCTAATAATTATTAGAGCTGTCAGTGCAGTGCCTTGCCAGCACCTGCTGACCCATTCTGCTGCTGGAAAGGGAAGAAAGGCAACACAGAAACTTCAGCACTTTAAGGGCAAGAAGGTTTGCTCTGAAACCAACAACAAAGGCTTTCAGAGCCTACATGGATTAACACAGGGGGACACAATTGTGCCAGGGGTTCATGTCAGATTCCACTGGTCCTAAACAAAGTTGACACTTACCAGTAGTATTTATCTGCCTCAAAATTACAGAAGCTTGAAATCCACAGGCTTTTCTGGATGTGTTTAGGTGCACTCTTTAAGTAACTGCAAAGTCACAGCATTTGTATCCTGTGGCAGCAGCAACAATATTTATAATAATTTTCTAAATGAAAGTGACCTCTGGCAGTTATACAGCTCTAGCCAAACCCAGACATTTAAACAGTTACTCACAGTACAGGGTTGTGTTTTATCTTTTAATCAAACCATTCCAGTTCTGCAGCTTGCTACAGTAGGATATAAATATTCAACCCCAACAGAACTATATTAGACTTCCTATAATAAACAAAGTTTTCATGTATTACATAAAAACATAGCCTAAGGGAAAAAACTGTTTTTCTTTTGGCCTACTTCTTCTTAAGACAGTAACATCCACCAGTGCACCTGCCACCCTCAGAACCTGAAGGCAGCATTTCACAGAACAGATCTGTACAATTGTTCACATCTTTTCACGTCCTAGATGTTCCATTTTCAAGGCTGGATCCGTTAACTGGAGGCTCCACAATCAGTCTTGGCTCTATCAGTGCATCCCAGCTTTCAGTTATCTGAAAACAAACCACAGGCAGCACTTGGCAGGTGCCAGCAGCACCAGCAGGTGCAGTTTCTGTGCTGCTATGCTTCTGCCTAGACCTGAACAGCAGCACCACTGAACTGAGACCACAGCTCCTCCTGTGAGTCACTGATCCCACTGGTGAACCTCAACCTGCCTGATGCCCTGGGTGAGGAAAGGTGCTGGTCAGAACAACAGTGATGAAAGGAAAAGCTGGTGAGAAAGGATCTCTGTGAGACATGATGTTGTTTATTAGCCAAAACAAGAACTCTGATGAGTGGCTGTGACCCCAGGTAACTGAGTACCACACAAGAACTGATTATTATGATGTAAACACGCACGTTCTTGCTAGAAAGAAACAACTGGTTTTGCCTCCATTGGTTCAAATGAGATGCACGGTTACAAAGGGAATGTCCCTGAGGTGAGGAGAGGCAGGAAGCAGGGCAGCTGGCAGCCCTGCAGAGCTGGGGGCAGCACCCAGAGCAGGCCCCACGTACCTTGGTGTCCTGGGGCACGGCGTACTCGATCAGCTCCTCTCCGTCTGCAGACTGGTACACCAGGTCGAACTTCCCTGGCTCCTTAGCAACTGAAAACCAAACAAACAGCTCAACCACCTACAAACCAAAGAAACTTTAAATGTTTACCACAAAAGCCAATCAAAATCAGTTTGGTTTTGGGTGTTTTTTGTGCTCAGTGTCTGGGTTCATAATTGTAACCAAAAATCTTGAGGAAAAATTGAGTACTACACACCAAAATTAAGGTAATTATCTGACTACTCACTGGAAAAAATCAACCATACGTTGCTGAAATTTGACAAAAACGCTCATATGACAATTCATTAATTCTGGCCTACATGGCAACTGCAAGATACACAGTTTGAGAAACATTAATCATTGCAGGTCTCAGGAACTGCACCTTGTCATTGCAGGGACTCACTTCCACACCCACTGAAGACACACATTATGATCTCACACTTTCTCTAAAATAATAATATATTTTATTCCTTTCTGAAATAATTTCTTTCAGAAAATGAAACCACAGTAGAGGTGAGTTACTGACCACTCCAACTGACTGAAAAAAATTATTTTGTAAATACCCATGAGCATCTTTCAGCTCAACTAGCAAGGGTTAGAACTTCTCAATGTAAATACACATTTTGGGGAAGGAATGAGGAGGGGAGGGGTGTGTTGAGAATGATCCCAAGGAAATTTGGAATACTCCTGAAAGACAAAGTGTTCCTTGGACTTCTGGTTTTCCAGGTGGCAGCACATGACAACAAGCCCTTGGTGTCCCCAGGTACCTACATTGTCCTGCTGATGTTGAAAGGATCTCCAGTTCAATCTGCTTTTTTTCATCATTCCAACTGATTATTTTTGCCTCCTTCACAAAGCAACGAGAAAAGAATCAGGTAAGACACACTTCAGCACTGGATTCCATATTTACAACCAGTGCACTCCTTGATTGCTGCCAGAGGAAATGAGTATATTTGGCTATCAAATTTTCTAGTCTCCATGTATAAAATCTGCAAAGAATTAATGCTCAGCAATCTGTAACTACTGGTATCAATAAAACAAAGTTACTCATTGTCACTAACTTTGCAGTTTAAATCAGTACTTACCCAGAAACCAAGTTATTTGAAGTAGCAACAAAATTTTACTTGCAACAGTTTTAAGAACTTGCCCTAGCTTCAAATAGCACTAGACTCACATACAGCATCATTTTTCTACTTGAGGGTCTGCATTTTTTGTCATCTCTAAAATATTATTGATTATTAATAATCCTTGTAGTTGGTGGTTGTTTGTTTTTGTTGGTTTTTTTTAATAACAGCTATACTTTTAAAATTTTCAATTAGTTTTGGCTTCTAGAGTTTTGATTTTTACTGCTGCACCAGGAACAGCCTGTGGAGTGAACTGGATGCAAGGAAAAACACTGCACAGCATCAAAATATTTAAGCCCTACCTCACCTATCATAGTTCTGTGAGTGAATGAAGGGAGGAAAGAAAACCAGTACCTTATAGTCTGAAATTTCAGGACTGTAATTTTCAGTTAGTTCCAGGCGCTGTAGAAAGAAACACAAGTAACAAATTGTAACTTTTCCCAATCTTTGATGGTTCCACCTACATCCAGACACAGTTTCCTCAGCCACAGAAAAGTGCAAGAGCCAAGTCTCCTACTCCTGGAACCCAGTGCCAGTCAAGGTCCCAGGTACACATCCAGGACTTGCTGCTCCAAAGGATTTACGTTCAGGTCAGGCTGTGTGAGGAGATCAGGGAGATGGATCCCACTCTCCTCAGCTGCAGGGATTTAATTTTCATTTACTTTTTTATTTTGCAACGCAGTGTAATTATTTGTATGGTAAGATTTGCAATAACATTTACATGGAAAATTACATTGCAATGACAGCAGAGATAGCATTTATTGTGTTCTACAAATACAGAAAGTCTAAAGAAATGCACTTAACTTCTGTATTTGCTCCAAACTTTGTCAAAAATCAAAGCCAGGCTTTACAACAAGTGAATTTTCTAGAGAAACTGTTATGTCAGAAACTTAAGAGTGGCCCAAATGAAGCAATTTTAACCTACTAACATTCAGCATTTCCAGAGTTTACCTTAAAGGCAATTCTTTCTCCCACTTGGGGTGGAGCAGCTAGAAGAGGTAACACACTATAGTCTCTCTTGGGAAACTCCGCGGGATTCTGTGAAACAAAGAGCAACCCACTGATCAAATTATTTCATCAGTGAAAACAGAGGACAATGTTCATGCTGTATGGATTGCAAGAATCACTGAGAAGAGCAAGGTACATGCTTTGTTTTTAGATATAGAATACAATCACTTTATTGTTGTTTCACAAACACGTCCTCAGGCTGACAAACAGAATTACAGTAAGTAAAAAATCAGCCTTTATCCCACCTATCTATTTCTGCTGTTATGAATTACTCTCATCCTGCAGGTCCTTTGTACAGTTCAAGCTGCCAGAGAAAGGTGACCCCTGCCTGTGTCAGCACTCACCTGGACAAGGACAGAAGTGTTTGTCGCAGCTTCATTTAACTGCCTCTGTTTGTGGCCTTCACTGCTGTAGTTATAGAAGCAGCCAGGGTTTGCTCCTCTCCCATGGCCCCTCATCATCCCACGAAACCCACGGCCCCTGGGGCCTCTCCAGAAGGGATCCTCTCCCGTTCCACGCCCCCTTCCACGGCTCGGGCTGCCAAAGGATCCTTGCACACTGGCTGGCAACTGTCTAGTGCAGTTCCTTACTATGGAATTACCCAGTCCAGCAGCTGCCGCAGACTTTTTAATGACCAGTGTCTCTGAATCTGAACTATCAGAGTCTGAAGAGGAGCTCTGTGCTTTGGGAGCCTTGGTGCTGGCTTTTACAGCCACCACATGGTTTGGCACTGATTTTTCCTTTGCAGTGCTGTCTTGTGCTGGTGTCACCTTCTCATCCTCTGTACTCGAGTCAGAATCTGAACTAGAAGACTGAGGTTTGTTAGTATTTTTACTAATTGCAGTCTTAATCTTTTCAGTGTTAGACTTTACAGTCACTTTATCAGTTTTCACATCAGAATCTGAAGCAGCTTGGGATTTGTCTTTGGGAAGTGTCACCACTACAGGTTTATGGGAAGATTTATTTTCCTTCACATTTAATTCACTGCTGTCACTGTCAGACGATGTGCTGGAGGAATCTGAAGGTCCCACCCTCTTTTTCCTGGACTGTGTTGTGATCTTTTTGGTGCTATTTTTACCAGAATTTAGAGAAAAGTTCTCATTTGCCTGTTCTAAAGCCATCTTTGCTGCAGCAACCTTTGTCTGCTTTTCATCCTTCTTTTTTGTTGCCAACTCCTTCTCCCTCTCTGTTTTTTTCATCTTTTTAGAATGGGAAGTAGAGCTCTCTTCCTTACCTTCTGTGAGTTTATTTCTTCCCCTAACTTCTTCCTTTCTTTTTCTTTTCATGTACCTTTTCTGAGAGTCCCAAGTATCTACAGAGGTCTCTTCCCTACAAGAGGAATACTCAAGGTTGTGCTTCTCCTTTTTCTTTTTCCTTTTATGCTTGCCTTCATTCCTAGACAACTCTTCCTCATCCTCCTTGTGTCTGTGCCTTTTTTTGTCTTCTTTTGTTGCGTAAATAAAGCCATCATCTATCTCTTCATAATCATCTGCAACTATCTCTTCCAATTTTACTCTGTTAAAAAAAAAAACAAACAAAAACCAACGTTCAGCAGAATGAAGAATTTTCCCCACATGTGAGAAGCTCAGGCAAGTTCCCCTAGAGTGAAGATGCTCCAGCTCTTCCCTGGACAGCCCAGAACCCTCCCCTGCAGGCACAGGCTCCCCTTCCATCTTCGGGAACATTTCCAACTGCTTGGCTCCCTCCATCCTCTTGGGCATGCTGGGCGTCTCAGTACCCGTGGGCACCCGGGAAGGAAGAGCTCAGACCTCGGGGAAGCCCCATCCCCGTTCCACCAAAACCACACGGAGATTCACAGAATCCCAGAACGGGTCAGGAAGGGACCACAGTGGGGTCATCTGGTCCCACCTCGCTGCCTAAGCAGGGTCATCCCAGAGTTGTGTCCGGAGGGCTCTGGAATATCCCAAGTGAGGGAAACTCCACATCCTCTCTGTCCCAGTGTGCGGGCCCTGCACCTCATGGTCAGGTGGAACTTGTGGGCATCAGTTCCTGCCCGCTGCCCTTTGTCCCACGGCTCGGCAGCACCGGGCAGAACCCGCTCCGGCCTCGGCATCGCCTTTAGCTACTGATGGACACTGACGGTATGCGGGACTGACCCCCGAGCCCGCTGTCCCGGTCCTGCTGTCCTCATCCCCACCCCGCTGTCCCGGTCCCGCTGTCCCGGTTCCCATCCCGCTGTCCCGTCCCGGTTCCCATCCCGCTGTCCCGGTGTCCCGGTTCCTATCCCACTGTCCCGGTCCCGCAGTCCCGATCCCGCTGTCCCAGTCCCCATCCCGCTGTCCCGGTCCCCATCCCGGTGTCCCGGTCCCGGTGTCCCGCTGTCCCGGTCCGTACCGCAGCGAGTCGTTGTCCCGCACGAGGCGCGCGCTCTCGGCGGGCGGCAGCAGCGCCCCCTCGAGGAAGAGGCTGAGGCGGGCGCGGCGGCTGAAGCCGAAGCGGTGGCGGATGAGGCTGAGCAGGTCGGTGACGAGCCGCGCCTGGCCCGGCTCCAGCAGCAGCCAGCACAGCGCGCAGCCCGGGCTGGCCGGCGGAGGGTGGTCGAACACCAGCCGCAGCCGCACCGGGCCGCCGCCGCCGCCGCTGGCCGCCATCATGGAGGAGGAGGAGGAAGGGGCGGAGGAGGCGGGCGCGGGGGGCGGTGCCTCAGGGCGGGCCGGGCTGGCCGGTCCCGTGACCGCGGGAGCTGAGGGAGGGATGGGGCCGCTCCGGGCTGTGACCGCGCTCTCCGGGCTGCTGCTGGTGGCAGGTACGGGCCGGGCGGGACGGGACGGAACGCGACCGGGAGCGGGGCCTCCGGGCACGGGGCCTCGGGCAAAGCGCTCCTGTATCCCGCAGCCGGGAAGGGCAGGGCCCGGGCTGAGCCGCGCGAAATTCCGCTTGCTGGGGTGGCGGTCGGGAGGGACGGAGAGGGCAGCGGCAGTCCCGGGGGAGCAGCGAAACCTGCTTGGTAAAAGCCTTATTGCTCCCGCTCCAGTGCGCTGCTGCCTTCTGCCCTGATCCGTGAGATTAAGGGACGGAGTGTCAAAGGTCTGTTCCGTGTCCGAGGTCGACAGTAGACTGACTGCGTTAAGTGGCCAGACTTTACTGACTTGAATTATATTTTGAATTCCTTTAGAAGTGACCCTATCTGCATCTGCTCTCCCTGGGGGCTGTGGAGCGGAGCGGTCCCCGCAGACCCCCGGCTCGCAGTGCTGGGATGAGTGCGGGCGCTCGGCTCATGGCGCCAATAACTCGCTGGCTGCGGTTCGATCCCCGCCCGGGCCGGTCACTAAACGGTTGGACTCGGTCTTTTTAGCTCCATTTCAACTCAGAATATTCTGTGGTCCTTGTCAATATTGCAGCTGGTTATGGGAGTTATTTCACTGGGGCTGTGCTTTCAGCCCAGGCCTTGAAAACACTTCAAGAACAAATTATTCCAGCGATTGGGCTGTAATTCCGGCGGCAGCTCTAAGGCCAGGCTCGGATAATGCAGCGCTTAATTACACACTTCATTCATTGACAATAACTCAGCCGTGGGTGGGGGTGTAGGTATAGGCAGGTTTCTTACAGTAATTTCTTTTCACAGTAGTAGCATTTCTAATTATCACACCCAAGATTGAAATGTAATGTTTTGGAGCAGTTCTGGTGGAAAGTCCGAAGCTGAGCCTTGTTACCTAGCTGATTGTTATTGTTATTCCCCTCAAGGTGTAGTTCTGAGGCAGCCCCAAGAGCCCAAAGAGGTGTGGGGATATGTGGAGGTCCGGAGCAAGGCCCACATGTTCTGGTGGCTCTACTATGCAAACAACCCAACCAAAGACTTCACAGAGTTACCTCTTGTCTTGTGGCTTCAGGTAAGGTTTGGTGAGGGACACATAAGCAGTAATTCTTTCCATCTCATATAAGCGGTAATTCTTCCCATCTGTGCCTGGTTCAGTCTGATATCAGATATTGAATATCAGAATTCAAAACTGCCTGGTTCTAAATGCCTCACCTTGTGAATGAGGAGTTGGGGTTGAAAAAAAATAAGGGTGATTTCATTTTGCAGTTGTGGGGTGTCCTCAAGTGCCCGCCTTCCATCAAGTTGGATTGCAATAACAGAGGTTGTTCTTATCTTTCATACAACAGTAGTGATTTTTGTGCATTGTAATTTCACAGCTCCTTTTCTGGAGAGTTTGAAGTCTAAACAATGCTCAGGGAGAGAGAGTAAATAAAATAATCAAAGATTGAGGATGATTTCTTAATGGAAACAATCCCAGTTTGATAAAAGTGATGGCGTGTTCTCCACAGTACATTTCAGAAGTTAGTGCTGAATAGAATCTCTTGAGGACTTGTTCTTATTCTTCCTGGGCTATTTAATCAGTGTGAAACTCACAAGCTGTACATGCTGGTTATATTAATGACTTGCTCTGCTCTCCAGTTAGCAGATAGTTAACTTTTGCACTCCATATTTGGGGAATAAGGTTTTCAAACTGTGCTCACATAGCAGGCAGCTCACCAGAAGCTCTCACAAGTGGGTGACTGCTTCTCTGTTGAATTCTTGCTTTCAGAAATGGCATGTGTGTGCATAGCCCAAGACCACGAGGAACAGAGCCTGCTCTGCAAATTAACATGTAGTGCAAAAGCCATTTCTAAAATTTACAATCTGTCATTCTACTTACTGGCTGCCTTGTATTTTTCTTCCATCTGTCATATCTATGCCATGCTGCCTTTTAACATCTGTGTCATTTGATGTTTCCCTGCAGGGAGGTCCAGGATCTTCAGGCTGTGGGTATGGGAATTTTGAAGAGATTGGTCCATTAGACAAAGAAATGAAACCAAGAAATACAACCTGGGTACAGTAGAGTTCAGCTTCTAACTACTAATTACAAATGTTTGTTTGCTTGTGTAAGCAGATGATCACTACACAAAAAAAAAAAAAAAAAAGAACAATTTTTCATTTAAAGTTCAGTAGAACTATAATATTTCAAGTTAAAATATTGTGGTTATTAAATTAGCTTATAGGAGTAGCCTTGTTTAGAACTGAGGGGTAGACGTTAATTTAATTTAATTTAATGAAGTATGTCTATTCCATGGAACTGTGAAATGCAGATGTCTGGGAACCAGAGAGGAGGGAAATTGTAGAAAGTGTTCTTTCAATTCACAGCTTCATTGTGTGCAGTCCCAGAGCTTTTTCTGGGTGGCTGGCAGTGTAAAACCTATGACTTATAATTACAGGTCCAGTATGGCCTTCAAGGGAAAACAAATTACAGCTGCCTGTGAAGGTGGAAGTTTAATTAGAGCAATATATTTGTGCTCTGAGTTAGCAATAGTCTGAAGTACTCTGGAGTTCCCCTAGGTGACCTGGATCACTGGGAGTTTTTGGGTGCATTTCTCGTTACAGATTGGGCAAATTGAAGGACTTTCTGTTGCACCTAATTTTTCTGCAGGTTTTTTCGGGTCCAGGGATTTGCTGGCTCAGTTAATCATTTGTGCCATCAAAACTAAGTTATTTTGCTGGTGCTGAACTGAGGTTTTATACAAACCTTCTTTCTGCTTCTACAGTTGCAGGCAGCCAGTGTCTTGTTTGTGGATAATCCTGTGGGCACTGGATTCAGTTATGTGGATGATTGTAGCTTGTTTGCCCAAAACCTTACCACAGTAGTTTCTGATATGATGGTTTTTCTTGGAGAATTCTTCAAGTGTAGACCTGAATTCCAGGTAAGTGAATTGAATTCTTGTTTACTGTTGTATTTTTCTCTGCTTTTCAATAGAATTCAAAAAGAATTAGAGAACAGACTTCCAGATGAGCAGTGTTTTGCTGCTAGGTAGTGTGTAGTGCAGGTAAAACCACTGTCTCTTATTTTTCACATTGCAGAGTTGTATCTTGATTTTGGGGTTAGTTAGAAAAGCATTGGGGTGGATCATTGTCTGTTGAGTGATCTGAGCAGCATATACAGGATCACAGCTGCTTACAGTTCCAAAATGCTTCAGAACCAACCCCAGCAAATCACCAGGATGTTATGGAAATCTAATGTACAGCTTAAAATAAGAAAAACATTAAATGTTTGATGGTGAGAGGTGAACAACCAGTGTCTGGGTCCTGTGGGGTGTGGGAGATGGTTGGAGGCATCTTCTGCCCTCCATGCAATGAGTTCCTTGTGTGGTTTTTCTCTCCCCAGACCATCCCATTCTACATATTTTCTGAATCTTATGGAGGTAAAATGGCTGCTGGGGTTGCTTTAGAGCTGCACAAGGTAAGTACTTGGAGGATACAGTTCACTTTTCACTTTAAAACAGGTTCTACAAGTACTTTTATTTTCTGGATTATGCTGTCCCTATTGCCTAATTCTCAGAGCTACTTACTTTTTTCACTTCATGAAAACTGATTCTAGAGTCATGAATAGCTAAAATTTAATTCTTGGTGTTTTGTTTTGGTTTTCCTACTATTCACGAAGGCTGTTCAAAAAGGGACCATAAAGTGCAATTTTATGGGGACTGCTCTTGGAGACTCATGGATTTCTCCTTTGGGTATGTTTAAATTCCTCACTCTGTGGATGATTTATTGTTGTTATTTTGTTTTTGTTGGGTGTTGGAATCATTGCATGAGTGCCTGAAGTCAAAAAGGCCATCCCTGCCTTAAGTGAATTAACTCTCCAGTGAGTCTGGTAAATCAAAAATAAATACTGCAGCCTTGCAAGTCTTCTTGTGACTTAAGAATCTCTCTTTAGAATGTGTCTAGATTAGGAAAAGTCAGAGAGCAGGATTAGCGAGGAGCACACTTACATCTGAAGTGGAGGGATGGTAAAATGTCTCTACACATCTCCTCAGCCTCTGAGGTGTTTTGTGAGAGTCCTGTGCTGAAATGTGACCACCAAGTGATTCACAAGGCTGCAAGTGAGATTTGTGTCTGGTGGAGGATAAAAAGCAAATGAAAGGGCTCTTGGTCCTTCAGTGCTATTGGCAGGGGCAGCCTTCCCAGATTCTCTGCAGCACAGAACAACCAAGCAAACTCTTATCTGTCTGCCATCAGCTGATCCTTCAGAATTTACAAACAATGTTGTCATAAAACAGATCTGGTTTATAACTCAGTTTTTCTCTTGTGATTTCTCAAACAGATCAGTTTAGATAATTCCCATCCTCTTGTTAGAGCTCTGGCAATGTGCTGCAGTGCTGGGGGGGAACATTTTGGTAGAAACTTGTTGGTTGCTTGAAATAAATTTCACTGATTAACTGATAGGGGTTAAATGATGTTGCAGGATTTGTGAAGAACCTGCTCTGTGGCACATAACCTTAGGGTTAAACAGAGCTTACTGATTAATTTTTACTGATTAATTCATCTCCATTTATTTTATTGTTGCCCCAGTAAAGGAGAAGTAAATTACATCTTACATCAATGATTGATTGTCAGTTTGATGTTTGAAATCTGTTCTATTTGTTTAGACTCTGTGCTGTCCTGGGGGCCCTACCTTTACAGCACTGTAAGTACCTTCTTAAACTCCTGGTCCTCACCTGATCCCTTGTGCTGCCATACAGAACAAATGGGTGTTGAATTTTAAGATTGGATGTTGAATTTTAAGGTTACCTCTTGGCCTGAATAAAACCTCAAAAGCCTGGAGGCTGTTAGCAATAAGTGGAT